CATTATGTATGAATTTCTAAATTTTTTTTCCGTTCTGTATCTCTTGAAATCTAAATTATGCGGCAGATATATCTATAGCTATGAGACGATGTGCAGAAAGAAGATCAAATTTGCTCCGCCCCGGGGGAAACTTAGTTTATATCGACTTAAAGAGAAAAATATATTGTAGTATTCTAAAACCTATAACGCTTTATCGTCGCCTAGTTGATCCCTTCCAGTGAAAAGAATAAAAACCCTGGTGAAAAACGTTGCCTGGGGAAGGACTTTGGGCGTTACTTAAACAACATAGAGTAAAATAGTAAAGATGATTTAAAAGCCTTTTCCCCTAAACCTACAGGGTACAGAGCATAGATAGTTGGCACGCAACACCAACTTGTTTTCCTTGATACAAAGTCATTAATATAAGGTTAATTGTCTGTTTTTTGTATTGATGCTATTGATGTAAATAGAGGAAATAAAAAGACATTATTTCAAACATAGTATTTTGATTCTTGATTTTAATGGGGTTGAAGTTTCATATTTTGTGCTTTTTGTCGTACTGTTGCAATATTATTTGTAGGGTTTCTCTCATTTTCATCATTTACCAGCCAACATTATTGTTGTTTAAGGTCATTTTATAAGAGACATATTAACTACTTTCTGAAGCACAAAAATCGACTTGCATACATGCTTATTATAAGCCCGATAATTTCTATATCCTTCAAAATTTATTAAATATTCAGACATGCTTAACATCTTAAGTCTATTAGAATATCCAACATCAAACAAATTTAATGCCGCATTTAATTTATAAGCATTTATAAGGTATTCCTCAATGAAGGTTTTATCAGAAACATGTCGATAACTGATGGCTTAAACAATTTCCATCAACGTTCGTAATTATTTGATGTCTTAAATCTACACTTTTGTACCATATCACTAGAAATGCTGCAAGTCTTCCATATAAAAGTACTTGTACATATAATGAGACCTCACACTAATTGAAATTGTAACGCCTTAAATAAATATTAACAATATATTTAGAACTATGTTAATATATGAATTGTCGTTATACAAATATGAGCCGTGTCACGACAAAACCAACATAATGGGTTTGCGACCAGCATGGATCCAGACCAGCCAGTCTGATCAGGATCCATGCTGTTCGCTATCAGTTTCTCTACTTGTAATAGGGTTGGTAAGGGAACAGCATGGATCTTGATCAGACAGCGCGGATGGTCTGGATACATGCTGGTCGCAAACGCACAATGTTGGTTATGTCGTGACGCGGCTCATATATGATTTAATATTCAACACTTAGTTCATACATCTACAAGATTAACATACAAATAAAGCAACGATTAGTGTGCAATGTTAGTAGTATGTAGTAAATCGTGCGTCCCAGAAGTATATAGTACCTAAAAATATTAAACACGTATGAACATTCATAAAATATTAAATGCGCGACATATATACCTCAAAAATAGTAATTATGTCGACATACATACTTAAAAAAACACACGAAGGACATATCATAAATACATGTATAGTTAAAGGTGACGTACCCACAAAATGTAAACATGTGACAAACGTAACTCAGAAAGGGAAAACATGCAAGAAAAAAAAAACAAACAAACACAAACAAGACGTAAACCGTAAACATTTCTATAAGAGTAACACTTGCCGGTACATAACTTAAAATGTAAATAGAAGACGTACATACCTCAAAAATAGTAAACACATAGTCAACGTCAGATTCATAATAGTCGCGGAGTTTGGATTTCCGTGTTGAATGTATAGCGTAAGATCTTGAGCTAGACAAAGAATTCATCTTCAATGGAGGCCCGTGTTTATGTTTTAGTCTCTTACATTGTTAAACACGCAATAAACTGGACTGATACAACAATGGTCCTCCTAACTTTCGTCAGTTTGAAAATTAGTTCAAAACTTGTTCACACTTTGTAATTCATAGTGTCTAAATTTTGTCTAGTTTGACATGCTTTCTAGCATTGAAAATACGTAAAATATTGCTTATCTGTTATGTTTTAAAATGCCGTACATTCTAGTAAAGCATCCTTTTGTTTGCTTAGTTTGTGAAATATATCAATAACTGAAGTAACTAATTGTTGTATATCCATATATATTTTGTATTTAACTACAATACGTTGTTTTAAAGTTGGCAGCACTTTCACTTATTATATGACCCATTTCACAATTACGCTAGAACTAATTTTAATTATACGCATTATTCACTCACAAGATTCAACAGAATGAAATCAATCTTTATCAATACGTTCTCTTTGAATCGTGAAAATGTTTTTTTTTTTCAAAAACCCTTTAATACCAATCAATTATAACCACTGTTTAACAATCACTGTCCAGAACGCACAGAACTATGTTAGTTTTGTTATTACCTCAATTAGACGTTATATGCTTTATGGAATTTGCTCTCGGATAATGTAGAGCTTTAAACTGCGATATGATAGTCTGTGTTTATGAAAAGATATATTAATTGTGCTTCAATTGAGATTCAATTAAAACAATGCATATCTCCATGACAATGATGCATAGCTATGTTGCTAAATAAAGACCATACAACATTCCAGAGAGTACTTGTTATATTCAATAAAGATAATTGATACTGCTTTATAATATCACAGACCAGTGAATGATAATAATGGCGTTATCAGTTACTTTTTTCAGCATCTATGAGCATATGTAAGAGAAATTCGGTAAAACTTCAATAAAACACTTTTCACAGAAGTCTTTTAAGATATTGGTTACATAACCTTGTCTTTCCAAACGCTATGATAAATATTTTTATAACATTATTTAATTTTTGATAAATATATTTTTAACAAAAGTAGAAAATATTAAAACGAAGGAAGACCTATTCTAATAAGCATGAATTCAAAAGTAGTTCCGACACTGTTGTTAGAATTTTTGTCTTAAAATATGAACCCTTTGAGTTGTAAACCGCAGAGAAACTAAGCTAAATGTTTGATACAGTACTACATAAATATGATTAAACGTTATATGTGTACCATTACCCACTCTGATTGTTAAAATCATACTGAATTAAAGCGTCGACTTCTAAACATTTCAAACCATTAAAAGTAATAAGTGCACAATGTCATTTAAAGTAATTAAACAGAGATTGAGAAAGAAAAAAATACTTAAAATCTCAAATTACAATTTGAAATGTTTTGCATGTTTTGTTTAATAATTACAAGGAAAATTAATTAGAAACAAAACCTAAGATATTGAATAACTCGATGAGAATTGCAGCATCTTTACTGTACAGGAAAACAAATACCATATTCCAAATGTCAATATTTACTGAAGACAGAACAAAGAACATCATTGAAATGTATTGTTTCAATATCAATATAATTAGAATCCTTTAATATTTATCGATATGCTTTATGTTAACGATACCATGCTTTTATTAAAACTGATTATCGTATGATTAGCGACGGGCATTAACAACGCTATTCAGAAAACATCCGGTTTAATATGAAAAATCAAAATTAAAAAAAACAAATCTTAAACACTAAAATAACATAAATAAATTTCACATTTAATCAATTTAAAATACTACAAAATAATTAAGAAGAAAATAAGAACGTGAGGTATATAAAAAAAAACCACTGTAAACGCAATGATTACTCTATGGTGGCTAATTTCCGTCATGCACCTACTGCAAAAATGTGAAAACAGGACTGTTCGACAAGGTCATTTATTGTTGTTTTAAACATAAATCACGACGTGACGTAAACTAGCCACCATTCTAAGAATACATTATTATGATGTTTAGTAGATTACAAACCGCCATTGAAAACTTGTGACATTTACCTTAATGTGATATTTAACTTAACGTGATCTTTAACTTAACGTGATATTTAACTTAACGTAACATTTAACTTAACGTAATATTTAACTTAACGTGATCTTTAACTTAACGTGATATTTAAGTTAACGTGGTATTTAACTTATTAACGTCGCATGTAACTTAACGTGGCATTTAACTTTACGTGATATTTAACTTAACGCGACATTTTTAAAAATGTCTGATTGATGCTTATTAAATATGTCAAATACGGGGTGTAACAATAATTACCGATATATAGTTACAACGTATATCGTTTGATAAAGAAAAAATCTTTTGGTGTAGTGAAATATTTTAAGGAGGTTTTCGGGAGTTTTCATAAAGACATAAAATTATAGGCAAAATGAAAACTGTTCAATGGAATTTCTTTAAACTTGGCATGTTGATAGAATATGATGACAGAAATATTTTAAATGAAAAAAAATTGGGGTCACCGTTCTCGTTTTTGAGTTATCTGCCCTTGAATCAGACTTCTCTACTTATTTGAGGTCATTTCAAGGGCAGATAACTTATACATACTTAAATGCATTCTTGTTTTTACTTCAGGATTATGTTTTTCTTTTTACTGTTGAGTACAAAACATAATAACAATCAATTCCTAATATCGTTTCTGTTTACATTGATTTTGTATTTTTTTCAATGAAAATAAAGGTACTTTAAATTCTTAAAAATAGGCCATTTTTTAAAGAAAAAATGCAAAGGTTAAAAGAAGTGGAAAAAACTATCCACTCTAAATTTGTTCTTGAAATTTTGCACATCGACTAAAATGAAGGTAAGCTTTATGAAAATAAGAAAAAAATTGAATTGTTTCCCTTCATTGTAAATTATCTGCCCTTGTATTTAAAAGTCCAATTCAAGGGCAGATAAGTCGAAAATGAGAACGGTGACCCCAATTATTTTCTGTTTAAAATGTTGTTTCTGTTATCATATTCTAACAACATGCCAAGTTTAAAGAAATTCTATTGAACAGTTTTAATTTTGCCTATATGTCGATATGAAAACTCCTTAAAATCAGTAAAACCTGGCACATCTTGATTATTGTGTGATTGTTTATAGTGAACAGAAATAAGAATAATTTTTGACTGGTATTACGAAATGTAACATGATGCATATATATTGAAATAGTGCTAAATATAAATGACATTTGTAATAGGTTAGAATAAAATTTTTCTATTAAATTTTTTATCTTAACTTTTGACCTACTTGCTAAATGACAGTTATTTATCTCATTAATGTGATAATCGGATATAACTTTACCAACGGCACAGAGATAGCCAGGGACAAAACAGGTTTGTTCTTTGAGCTTGTGTATCAATATACCATAAATTCATGTATATGTTTTATATTTTAATTAACAATAACATCTTGTTTTAATGTTGAACGTGTTTTTACAAGAACATGTACCACATGAATGAGTCATCGTTTCATTTTAACGTCTAGATAAGAACATAAATGAGCCGCGTCAAGACAAAACCAACATAATGGGTTTGCGACCAGCATGGATCCAGACCAGCCTGCGCATCCGCGCAGTCTGATCAGGACCCATGCTGTTCGCTGTCAGTTTCTCTACTTGTTCTAGAGTTTGTAAGCGAACAGCATGGACCCAGATCAGACTGCGCGGATGCGCAGGCTGGTCTGGATCCATGCTGGTCGCATACACATTATGTTGGTTTTGTCGTGACGCGGCTCAAATATAGAATTCAATTTTACTTTGTTTTATGACTGTTTTACTCTACTTTAACACCACGACTTTTTTATGTAAAATATTAATTGTCTTTTCATTCCGTTTGAAATTTACAAAGACATTATTGATACAGCTTTTTAAGACTTTACCAACTATATACGTAAACTTAAGGTTCGGTTGTATCTGTGATTTATTTCTTTATTAAGCGCTGCAATGAATTCTTCACTGTGACCAAATTGTTAACAAATGTTTGTCTTATTAACCATTATAATGAATGATATGATAATTCTTATTTTCATATTACTTTGATCAGTTTGATTGATTAAATTCTTTGGGCCAAATTTTTGATAATAAATAAGAGATTGTACAATTTAGTACACTGATGCCGATGATGATTTTGAAATACGTTCAAAATAATATTTAACTTATAGAGTACACAATATCAACGTATGTTTCGTACATCGTGTCAACACGAAAATGAACCGGTTGCATATCACTTGAGGGCATTAATTCATTACACTTGTAGAAATTATTATTTATTTCAGATTGATCATGGATTATATATTCATGTTCGCATTCATTATAACATTTGTAAATGAAGTATCAAGTGATTATTTATGTGTATGTAGTCACCACACACAAAGAGAAATATACGGAACGGTATGTTGTTATCTGTTTTATTATCTGTTCCGTTTTGTTGCTAGATTCATCATATGTTTATATGCATAGAAGTACGAGACTGCTATGGTATTAATACATCTATTAATTTATATTGGTCGAGGAAGATCTCGACTGGATAACTAACAAGTCATTATCAACTTTCTTACAAAGTGAACGCCTACAAATCTCACAGGATTTCTGAATCAGTCGTGACTTTTAGACTCAATGCGCGAGACATAGTGTAATGGAATAATCATGTCTCTTATGATGATCGAACTAGAGACTTTTAAATAACTAATTTGTAACATTGTATTGAGATAAGAGGTTTAGTTAATGAATAATTGGAATGTAGCGAGGCATCGCTTTATCTCTGTTCCTCAAGTTTTTTTCGCATTGTTTACAATTTCACATTTTGAAGATACATGTTTGCAATATAGAATATTCCTTTACGTTTTATTGTACGATCATCGTAATATAGACTCATCAGAATTTGCAATATTATGGGGAAAACACACACACAAAAAAAAACAACAAAAGAAAAAGACACACAAAAATACAAACAAAAACAAATATATATGCATGAAAGGTTTGTTACATAGATTATACTACTTCGTGTTTATATTATTATATGATGCTGGCCATGAACAAAACGAAATTTTATGTTTGAAATATTAGAGCAAAGATCAACAAAAGAAATCGATATTCACGAAATGCAGCCCCAATAACTTCCCGCAAAGCAATAACTTCCCGCAAAGCAAAAGCATCGAAAGGAACCGCATATAGACGGGAAAAGCATAAGGCCAGATAAAGGGTGCCTCTCCAAAGACAAAAATACCAAAACTATTAATCCTGAAAACGATGCAATGTAAATAAAAAATAAACGACAAATATCGACCCAGAGTCAATGTTAGTACCAATTGTTATATTATGTTTTAGCCTTCAGTGAATTCAATGCCACTGGGATTCCTATATCAAGATGAGTGCAAAGCTCTAGTATCACAGCCGAAGTTAGACAAACAGTGGATAGCCGTCCAGTTCTATCATATGGTAAGTTTCAACTTTTTACATGTTTATTAACTTTAGTCTAATTTGATCAGGACCAAGTATTTGCGTTCAAATGCCTTCTACGAACATTTTTGTAAGTCTACCATCTACAGCTGGCCCTCCAAAAAATCAGACAGTAACTGTAATCATGTTACAAAAGACAACTCTTTATCTGTATTCGATGTCTAGTAAAAATGTTATTGCATCAAACAGCAATAACAAAACTTTTATTGCATCAAAAACCAGTTTCAAAAGTATGACAAGAGAAAACATCGCTACAACGCAGCGAAAAACGAAATCCCTAAAGAACTTTCAAAACTATCAGATTACAATTGTTGCATACTCGGTTTGATTGAGTCTGTTCAAAGACAGTACTGGAAAACATCAAATAGAGAAAAAGAAGGAGTCCAAATAGTGCTCTCAAAACGCTAAACTGGAAACATGCACTGGCTCTGCAAAATTTTCACTTATACTTATCCCTTTAATATGTCTTCCGAAACAAAATGTCACTTACTGAAGAACGTCCTATTACAAACATTTCCGTTGGTGCCGGATTTCTTACAGACTCACTAAAATACTCTGTTTTTTTTCCTTAAACGTTCCGTCGATTTTTTATGGCAAAGGATATGCATAACGCTTTCTTGTCGAAACCATTAAACCATTTTGATTATCCCCTATCACTTGTTTTGTTTTATTTTCAAATATTGAATTTAAATATTTATTTATCGGGGCATATCTAATACAAGGATAATCTTTATTCCATGCATGTCTGATTAAGCGACATTAACAATTGTTAGTAGTGACGGTCATTATTTAATCCCACATGCATTATCATTATTCTTAGATGTTCTCTTGCAGATTGCTTACATAGAAACAGATGCTCTAGTAAATATTGTTCAGTGTCAAGGAACAATACCAGATGAAGACAAAGGTAAACCTGTCACAATAATGATATGATATATATTTCTATCAATTACATTACTAGGGTATCTTACGAGGGACGTTCCAAAATGCCATTTGTACTTTATTTGGCTTATTTCATGAAAATTGAAACGAAAATACACAAATCTATCTCGGGTAAATGACAAATGACTTCTGAACTTACAGACAAAATTTCACTGATCTCCGTACAATGAACATTGCTGTACAGTGTATTCATACATGTTAACACTACATAAAATGCTTGCTAAAATGAAAGGCTTATTTATTAAATAATGTATGACACTGCTCGATGAAAAGCCTGTAGATATTCACTGAGAAGTGTAAATCATTTATGTTGATGATCAAATGTAACACATATTTTTCTGTAGGTAAGTAGCTAAAATAAGCTTAAAGATGCTGCTCAGTTGAATTCGTCCTGCAACAACTTCGACTATCATCTACAAAACTTAAGATGCCCGATATATAGTTAGGCAGTTGGCCGTATAAAATAGTGACAAATCGAACTTGTCAATGATTTTTCAGTTAGTCTAAACATGTTTTATTTCTCAGAATTTATATTCATGCTATAGTTTATATTATATACAATGCATTTCAAGGATTCTTAAAAATGAAAGACAAGGTCTAGTAAAATGTTTTCCTGTATTCTTCATTTTATTTTGAAATAACATTCTTAAACTGAGGAAGAGAAATGCAAGAACAGTACCAGATTTGTTGACGAATGGGCAAAAGAGGACATAAGTGGCAAAGGCAGCTCCCGATAATGAATAAACGCATTTAACAATTTGTTTTCTTCTTTGTTTGTTTCGACTTCTTTGGCAACTTGTATTACATTTTAATGCTTACTTTGTAAATTTCTTCTCATTACCAATTTTTTTATACCAAATTTATAAATCTTAGCCTTTTTGTTGTTTCTACCTATTTCATTTAGGCATGTTATAATCTGTATGATATATTTTATCACCTTTTACATGTAAATACATAAGAAATTTCCTGTCTCATTAAATACTGTCACATTTCATAAACCATTATATTTCAGTTATACGAATATGTTCATGTCATGTGTAATTCGTGAATCATATGTCGTATTTGTATTAGGTAATATGATGGCGATATTGTTTTGCTTAAATCAAGTAATAAAATATCTCTTCTGTTCGATATGTATAACTTAAGCTGTGCTTATTAAATGAGTATTAGGCCGCCCGTAAAACCTTCTTGTTACATGCAATGAATGACATATATCCATATCTCCACAGTGTAACTTTCCCAGTTAGGGCCATTTTGCATAAATCTGCTGCTACAAATCTGTGTTGAATCTTTTAGCAATTCTTTTGGCATATCAAATTTGAAGTTTATCATTCTTTTAATTTATCATGCACTTTATATTATTTGTCATTTGTTCTTCTAATGTTAATTAGTTGTATCTTAGAGTGCTTGGTAATAAATACCAATTAAGAAATTAATTGAAACATCCCCATTACGCATCATTTAGTAATAAATTATATGACATGCATATGTTCAAATGTTCATACTTGCTTTAGAAAGTTGTATTGGCTAATGTGTAATAACTTAGTAGTCTTACTTCAATGCTTTCCCGCCAAAAAAGTCTAACATAGGTCAATATCGTATTAAATCGGTTGTTTCCGGAACGTTATTATTTCAAAATCTTGGGCATTAGATTATTTACAATCACTTATGCAATAAATTCCGTTTATAAACAGTTAAGAATTAATGAATACCGAATATTGTGAACAAAAACGTTCCGGAAATGACCGAATTTTTACGATATTGGCCGATGTTAGAAACTTTTTCGCGGGAAAGCATTGAAGTAAGACTACCATGAACTCCATCCTTTGAAAAATAGAGTTATGTTAAAGAATGAATGATAGTTACTTATGCTCATCATACTTATGCATTATATTGGTTCTTATATTATATCAAAAGCCAGTACAATGTTCCCACCAACCACACAGAAGCCGGGACAGACGAGTACGACAAAGCCGTCACATGCAGTAACTACTGGGATATCCACTTCTAATCCTACACAAATGAATTCCCACACGACATCCGGGTTACAATCAACAACATATCGCCAAACTTCACATAGCACATCAACAAGAAAAACAACGCAATCAACAATTCATGTAACGCATAGTCCTACTACACACCATCATGTTACTGTAATACCAACTGCTGCTCATTTCACAATAGGTTTGTATGGTAAATTTATAAGAACACAGTAATTAAAGGCACCGTCATCGTGGTATCATACGTGCCTTTTATCATACAAATAGCTTTATGAAGGTCAATTTCTGAACGTTTTGGGTTTTTTTTTAAATTAAAAATATTTTGTTTTGGTGAAAAATATGTTTGATACATCTCGCACCTTTACAATCAAACAGTAACGGTAGGACGTAGACCGTTACGGAATAATCACGAAATCTAACAAAAAATTCAGTTTTAGATTACATATGGATAATTTATATTGATAGCATTCAGATTTAAATTGCAAATTAACATTTTTTACACTATTGAAGATATATTTACTAGAAATAATTCCGTTTACTTATTCGTACCTTGTACTAATATAAATTGTTGTGCATAATGCAATATCCGTCTGTCCATTATATATCTAAGATTGCAAAAGGTGTCAGTCATACTTAGAATCCATTACAAAAACTAGATTGTGACAACAGTTACTGTAGTAAAGTAATTGTTATAAGTGTTAAGTTAAATGAACCATAGTATATTTTCAGGTCATTTAGAGCTTTGTCCAGCAAATGTACGTCGGGGCTCATTAATTAATGGATTCAAACTAGGGCAATATAAGCACAGTTGTTACGAGGTTTGTAACACGCCAGTGTCATGGTTCCATGCTAATGAAATGTGCAAAGCTAGAAGAGGTCACCTTGCAACTCTGAGCAATCTGAGTGAAAATCATTTCCTTAATATGTTAATAAAACAGTATTTTCACGGAAAAGAATTCTGGATCGGACTGAATGACCTCGGTCATGAAGAACACTTCACCTGGTCATCTGGTATCTATCATTTCATTTATTCGACTTATTTTATTATTAAATTAATCTTTAATTTTGTCAAACTGACCTGTAAAGTATCACAATGTCACAATCGTTTGCTTGAAGATATCGTGTGTATTAAACGTTTGGCTTATCCCATTCATTTACATCCGTAAGAATAACTAAAATTCAATATTTATCTAATGATATATAAATCTTTTTGATCAATTTTGTTAACAGGGGAGCATGACTCGTATAGAAACTGGAGACATGGTCGCAAGAGCTCACATCATTCTCGGGAAGACTGTGTTGTAATGCTAGATAACGGCCATTGGGATGACATGGAATGCGGGTCGACTATGGCCTTCATGGAATTCCTACAACCTAGACACCCATACGTGTGTGAATACGGTATGTCGTCATAACGTTAAGTAAACGAAAATATTACACCATTTTGGTTTATAATAACGTAAATACTACGTCATTTAGTATATTTACACATAGTTATGACATCAGGACATTCCTTACTGCAAACATATCTTATGCTTCAGTATTTTAAAGCGTATGAAAATCACAGTCGGCGAATGTGATCAAATGAGCTTTTTATTCGTAAGAATATTGAATAAAGCAATGAAAATCTTTATCTACAGATTATCAAATTTAAATACAACAAACAATTGCATTGCACACAGCTTATGTGTATCATTCACAATAAAATGTAAAATATAAAATGTTAAGAATTGGTTGTTTATGTTATTTCAGTTAGTTACTTCATCTATGCTAGAATAACTTGTACCGTGCAAAAAAAAATAATAAGATAACATTATTAAAAGGTTCAAATGCATGTAATATATTATTGATCGTATAATAATTGTGCTTATGATTTAGTTTATATCATGAAATTGGAAGTCTACATTTTTGTTCACTTGCAGGTACAGTGAATGGAGCAGCTTTAGTTGGCTGAACACAGTAATCTTACGTGATTCAATTATCTTTACCATTGTTGTTGAATAAAAATGTTAAACATACAACTAAAAAGAAACTTGTTATGTCATACTGAGATATGCTTCATTTCCCGAACCTTTAATGTGTTGTAAGGACATAACAAAGTAGAAATATGATTATATTGTGGTTTGTCTTCATGTAAATTAGAGAGGAGTCCAAATAGTAGTTGTATCCAGATTTTAACACTAATTATTTCTAGTGCATTATGAAACGAAATTTTTGATTGGTTCACATAAAATATGAACATATTCATCAAGTATTTAATACTTATGCAAAAAATGTACTTAGAATTGATAAGTATTTTTAAAAATGGTAAAATGAATAACTTTATTATAAACTACACTTTTTTTTCAAAAGTAACAACATAGTAAATGCTTTACACGGTTTGTATGGGCAATTCAAGTACGTCTTTAAAGGTATTTTCTTGACGTTAAACAACTTGAGAAAAGAGCATTGGATATACAATAATGCGTATTATAAAAGGTAACACAATGTAAACAAAGTAGTACATTTGATCCATGCACAATACTTAATCACTATAATTTCACCAAATGCAAAAGAGCAAAAGAATCTTAAAGATCTGTCAAATCAACTATATGACCAATATACAATCGGTTACTGTTTTCAAATCTAACAATATACTTAAAATAGGATGTTATTCGAGGACTTAATGTACCTTTAAATATTCTGTTTTTCAATATAATAAAATTTAAACTACAATGATATAAATAATCATCATCATATCCGTGATAGCACTGTAGTTTAGGTAATTACCTTATATGACAGAGGTGTGTGGCTCGATACATACTTCTGGTTAGCACTGCTCTCTTTTTGTTTGTAATGAATTTTAATGGCAATGGTTCAGTGATTGGCCCAATGCTTGCAAACATGCAGACACAGATGTGGAGCAAGACATAAAGTGATCACTTCTTAGACGATTATAGACTTCATATCTCTAGATTTGACAGACGACAGTAACCCGACTACTAACAACAGATTTTGCCCATTGTTTTGTATTGTTTAGTATTATATTATACCCAATTGAACTGAAATTAATTGGTTTAATTTGACTGATGTTTAAATATATATCAATAAAGACACGTTATAAATACAATGTATTAAAATGTATACAGCTATATTTCTGCTGCTCTCAGTTTACTTATTAATTGTTTTGAATTTTGAAAGAAAAAGATAATATAAAATGCCTCTATAGGGGCAACATGTTGGTATATTTTCATAAAACCGAATGGTGCATGCCTGAAATCATTGTTAAGCGATTACTACCCTACTAAAATAGCAGCACGATAAACCGAATGTCACGTGCCTGAATCAAACCCTACTTAAAATAGCAGCATGGTGGAACGTTTTATGCTGTTAACATACATTATTCATGTGTACTTAATAAAGATACATATAACATTTTGAAAATTGACCACAAGATCACGGAAACAACATACTGTTTTTAAATTTTATGAAAATATTTCATTTTATACTTTTTATCAATTAAGGTTAGCTTACTAGTATTTAAGAATATGCATTAACAGTCACTATGGTGATTTTAAGTGCACTAAGTTAATATAATAAAATTATCATAGGACTAACAATATTACACATAAAGATGTATATCATCATCTACTATGAGATTTGCAAGGCAAATAAAAATATATATTCAAAACTAGGGCATTAAAGGACTTATAAAAATAAGCTACTTTCACTCTTTGACACTTACCTATATTCTATATTACATATAACATAGCTTAATAACACTAGTATCTATGTAAGTCTATTATGATGGCAGTTACATTATAATGGGTGTTTGTAATTAATGACTGACAAGGAATTCACTTTATTGGAGTATCTAAACCAGCAAACTATTAACACAAAGGGCGCTTTAGGTGGCGAGATTTATTTTATCTGAGGCATGCAATTTGATCTCCGTTCGTATCTTACAAGTACAGTTATTATGTAATATATGTAAGTTTAAAATATAAGTTTTATTTTGTAATCTATTTCATAGGTTTGGAACAACGGAAAAATACCAAAAAGTTCGTTTAAATTGACATTATGTCCTATCGAAGTGTACATTATAACTTTACCGGTAAAAGTTTAAAAAACCTCTTAACATTTGCCATAATTATTTTCAATTTAAAATATAATAACTCCGGTCATCTACAGGAATCTCTATAAATATAATTTCTTATGCATCGGTCACGTTCAGAAAACAAAGAAAAAAAATAGCAGTCTTTTTATTTTTAGGTAGTTTTTTTATATTTTATTCTGAACATAGGTCAATCACTATTTCACTGGTCAATCTTTTAAATTATGTTGCTAATTCAGATCAACTTGACAACGGAATGCAATGGAAATTCTAAATTTAGTATTACTTGATTTTATTCAGGCTTACTTCGTAAAAATTCTCCGTGGTGCAGGGCTAACGCGCTCGCTTAGTGTGTCAGAGGTCTGGGGTTCAAATCCCATTCAAGGCAATTATTTTTTTAAGTTTCTTTGTTAAGGAAGTAGCCACGGATAAAGTGTGGCTGTCATAAAAATGAACATAAATGATTTTTGATGCAACTCTAGTCATGCGAAATTCGTATGTATCAAACTCTGGTGCCTTGCAAGAAGAATCATAGTACATAAAAATAAACTTATACAGGAAAATGATACAGATATACAGTGCGATTAAGATTGCAAAGATCAGAAAATACCACAGAGCTTGCAGCCCTTTGATTTCTTAAATCCCAGAGCAAATAAAACGAGATAAATTTTGTATAATCCACAGTAATTCAATGATTGGGTACTGTGAAAAGCAGAATTTCAAAACAGTCTTCAAATTAACAATTAATTAATGTAAGAGTTGACGGAGCATTTACTAAATTCAATATGACTTTAATTAATTTATAGTCTATAAACAAATTCATCATGCGATATTGACCCATCACTGGGCATTTCCAAAGAAAACACATACATATTTAGAAACAGAAAAACAACTGTTGATACACGTGTATTTTATATGTCTTGTGTCTAATATAGCTATTTTGTTATTTATTTTACGTTACAATGATAACACTAATTTACTTGCAAAAGTATTGTTGTATTTTGATCATTACGTCTTATTTTCCTATTGGCAATATTTCTATACACCATGATCACATTTAGTGTTTTTGCTTTCATTAATAACCTGCCAGTTAAGAGAAGATAAATAGCCGTCATGGATATGATATAGAAATGTGGTATATCACAATAACATGTGTACAAGCTGCGGCAATCGTTTGTTTATTGTACTGTTTATTAGTTCTACGGGCTATTGTTTTTGTGTGGAGAAAACCTGTTAAGTCAATTACTGCGAGGAATTAAAGAATTAAGATTACCGGTACTCTATAGTAAAATTATTCTACTGTAGGTAAGTTTAACATGGCTGGGCAAACGCTTTATATGAATTAAACAAGTAAATTACCATCAAATCTGAGAGGCAGTTTAAAGAAAATAGCCAAATGAACAGAAACATGGTTGTTAAATGCAAAACCAAGTATGGATTATTTTTATATATAAACCTGTAGTAACGATGTTAATTTTCATTTGTTCGTAAGGAGGTTTGGTAGCATAAACAGATAATTAGGTCTATAATGTGCATTTGATATATGTCTTCTAACGTGTGTGTTATTGAATTATTTATGATATAAAGTTTGTATAACAAAAAATATTTAAAAAACAAAACAAAAAAAACAAACAAAAAAAACAAAACAAAAAAAAACAAACAAAACAAACAAACAAAGTAAAAGCACTAAAATTTTTTCACAATAATTAAAAAAACTGTTTAAATACGGTAGATGTATTCCAAGCATATTACTTCCAAATAGCTTAAAATATTGTGAACTTATTTTGCTTATGTTGCACATCGCTCTTTAGAGATGGAAACGATACAATGAAAATTTAAAAACACTAGAAAACATAAGAACAACGACATTTAGTTGTAGCTGCAAAAGACCCTCTCCCATGGCCTTCATTCAATATCTAGTACCGTTCAATTGTGAGAAAGAAAGATATATGAACAACTGTGTGCACTAAGTGAAACATGTGATGTTACATACGATCTTATCATATTGAACCATTTAGTAAGTAGTGTGGCATTTATTATATACATTTATCACATAATTTTTGCACTGGAGAAGTGTGATAATGCAAGTGTTGTATGACATCTTATCATGTTTTAGCAATCACCGCAATAAAAATGCACAACTGATATCAATAAATAGCAGATGATAGATTTAAGTCCTGTCAACACACAGATTAATATAATTAGTATGCTAACATTTCACATATTATACGAAGAGCAAAAAAGGAAACATTGAATTTACAATATGTAATTTTTATGAGTTATTTGACCATGTATACGTACATATTGTATAATTCTATAAGACTGCACAATATTTAACAAGTAGAAATCACTACTTACGTAATATTCGACGAGATCTATTGGTTCCTTTGCAACATTTCTTGTTCCGGATTGAATTTGACCAGTTTCGTCACCGACCTTGACATTACTACTAGTTGCAGCTGCGTTAATTGTATATTCATTGAATATGTTTCCGAAAATAGCAGCCTATCCGATTAAATTTTCTCTTTTTGCAAATTGCATTGCAAAAAATGATTACACTTCTTTTCATGAAATCGAAATTACAGTTTTATCAAAAGACTATCACCTTTTGTGCGAAAAACTGGCTTATTATGAAAGTGATCCTTAATCGTAACCACTTGCATACCGAATTAACAAATGCATATTTGGTGCTTTCACCGGAATTATTTTCATTTTGATTAAGTTGTGTAAATTCCTTTATTCTTTAACTCTATTGCACATCAATCAATGAAATATACTTTAACTATACACCGAAAATGAAATAAGTTGTAAAAATCCAAACATCACATTTTTTCATTTTTATTCCAATTTCTCGTTCAAGAGATGCTGTGCTATTCTGAATTCGTCAAATGTTTGGATTCTTAATTCCATTCCATAATCTTACCCAAACATTTTT